ATGAATGGTGCTCCCACAGCGGGAACAGCAGCTCAGAGGGCGGGTCCACAGCCGCTTGGCTGACCAGGATGAGCGGTGCTCCCACAGCAGGTTGATCCCTGCAGGACACACTGCCCAGCAGTGCACGAATCCCCTGCACTGGGCCTCTAGTAATAATTAAAAAGAAATAAATGTACCACAGCTTTTTTTATCCACTCATCTACTGATGGGCACTTGGGCTGTTTCCAGATCTGGGCTATTGTAAATAACATTGCAATGAACACAGGGGTGCATATATTCTTTCTGATTGATATTTCGGGGTTCTTAGGGTATATTCCCAAAAGTGGGATGTGTGAGTCACTTTTTTTTCTCTTTTTTTTTTTTTTTTTAGGAAACTTCATACTCTTTTCCACAGTGGCTGCACCAGTCTGCATTCCCACCAGGAGTACAACTAGGGTTCGCTTTTCTGCACAATCTCACCTGCACATGTTGTTTGCTGATTTGTTGATGTTATCCACTCTGTCAGGTATGAGGTGATACCTCACTGTAAATTTAATTTTCATCTTTCTGGTGATTAGTGACTTTAAGAATATATTCATATGTCTATTGGCCATTTGTATGACCTCTTGGAGAAGTGCCTGTTCAGGTCCTTGGCTACTTTTTGATTGGACTATTTGTCTTCCTGGTGTTGAGTTGTATAAGCTATTTTTATATTTTGGAAATTAATCCCTTTTCAGATGTATCATTGGCAAATATGTTCTTCCATCCAGTGGGTTCCTTTTTATCTTGTTGATGGCTTCGTGTGCTGTGCAAAAGCTTTTTAGTTTGATGTAGTTCCACTTCATTACATTTATAAATACAAGATTTACACAACACTCCATCAAAAATATTTTTAAGACTTCTTACGAATATCTACATATATTCCATACCTATAAAACTTTCACAAGAGTGCTCTGTTAAAGGTAAGCCCTTGTGCAGTGATGGTGAACCTATGACAGGCGTGTCAGAGGTGACACGCGAACTCATTTTTTTGGTTGATTTTCCTTTGTTAAATGGCATTTAAATATATAAAAGAAATATCAAAAATATAAATCTCTGTTTTACTATGGTTGCAAATATCAAAAAATTTCTATATGTGAGATGGCGCCAGAGTTAAGGTTTTTCAAAATGCTGACATGCCGAGCTCAAAAGGTTCGCCATCACTGCCCTAGTGAATTGTTCATTTACTGGTCAGCAGAACTCATGTAAATCTTTAAAGCTTTCCTTGTCCATAAAACATCTTGAAAAATTAGCAAGACACATACTTTGAAACTGAGCTTTTTAAACCATCATATTTTAGAAAGGATTTTGATATGCATATTCTCATGAAATTCAAGTCAGATAAATGATGGACAAAACACTAATTGAAAACAAATACATACTACACAGAGCTGTTAAGGCAGGAGTATGATTAATAAGAAAAGTTGAGAAGTAGGACACAGGAGATGTGGGAAGGAATAAACAGTAATGCATTATATGAGACCAGTGTCTCTTTAAATTTTATTCAATGGGGGAAATTATCACTATCCTGGAAGAAAACGTTAGCAGGTCTGATGACTTCTACTTGACTCTTATCTGAGAGAGAAGTGATTTTTTGCGTTACTCTTTCCTCCTAGTTGTAGGACTTCCACTCAGCCAGCGTTCCTGTGGGTCTGGGTGATGTCCGTTCCGTCTTTTAGTTTCACTTTTGAAATGGTTGTTCGAGGCGGCAAACTCCGGCGTTAACCTATGCCGCCATCTTGGTTCCTAAAGTCAGTTACTCTGAAACTGAGCTTTTTAAACCATATTTTAGAAAGGATTTTGATATGCATATTCTCATGAAATTCAAGTCAGATAAATGATGGACAAAACACTAATTGAAAACAAATACATACTACACAGAGCTGTTAAGGCAGGAGTATGATTAATAAGAAAAGTTGAGAAGTAGGACACAGGAGATGTGGGAAGGAATAAACAGTAATGCATTATATGAGACCAGTGTCTCTTTAAATTTTATTCAATGGGGGAAATTATCACTATCCTGGAAGAAAACGTTAGCAGGTCTGATGACTTCTACTTGACTCTTATCTGAGAGAGACTTGATGCTACATTATTATAAACACAGCTTCAGTTCAGAAATTAGGCGACCTAGTCCAAGAGCAACAGTCTACCTTCACCCAAAAGTACAGTTTGAGCCCTGGACTTCCAGGTAACCAGACCCCTTAGGCACAATTTTACAATGGCCTGGAGCCTGCTCTCTCCAGTGAGGTTCTCATTTGGATTCAGAAAATACCCCTTACAAGGCAGACCCATCTACTGTCCACATGCAGTGTTCTAGTGCTCTTGGGTACTAGTGCCTCTGTTTCACAACTACAAGGAACATTTGTACTTGGGGACCCTGTAGAAGCCCCCTCACCAGGCATGAGTGAAGAGCACACATTCTCCCCTGTGGAGAGCGGCTACAGCATTTGTACAGGTTCAAGCCTCGTATTAATGAGAGGGCACGGTCCTCTCCTGGCAAAGCCCTCCCAGCACAATTATAGCCAAAGGCTATGTATGGTTGTAAGCTTGACCTTATGGTCCCAACCTGTGGTCCCAGGTAGCAGAGTGATGTAGGCTGCAAGAGGTACAGCAAGTGCTTGCAAAACAAAGCTTGATAGAGTTATCAGGTGCATGTAATAAACTAGATTCAAAACTCAAAAGAACATAGTAAACATCCTGACCACGCCCTTGCTTTGCCTCATGGGATCTGACTATAAAATAAAGACTCGTCTCACAGGCTGTGGCACTGTCTCTCTATCCGAGAACAGTGTTCCACCTGGCCCCAGCTATGTCCTAGTCCGTTTTCTTTAATCCTTCACTGCCCGACACCCCCTCCCCACCCCTCAGGTTCACCACTGATCATGCTGGATGTGGTTCATTCCCCACCTTCCCTTCACAGCCTAGCAGAGCTCTCAAGAAATCTTACAAATCTTTTATTATCTACTGGCTCTTATACTTTGTCCCTTCATATTCCCTAAAAGTGCAAGGAATGCAAGCATCAAAACTGGTTCTCCATGATTTACTTTGTAAACCCCATACTTTAATCTAAAGTCCAACATTTATTATGTTAACTAGAGGCCAGTGCACAAAAATTTGTGCACTCGGGAGGAAGAGGGGGTCCTTCAGCCTGGCCTGTGCCCTCTCGCAGTCCGGGACACCTCGGGAGAAAACGACCTGCTGGCTTAGGCCTGCTCCCGGGTGGCAGAGGGCAGGCCCAATCTCTAGGTGCAGCCCGTGGTCTGGCTCACAGCCAATTGGGGAGTTGGGGCGCCACCCCCTATCATACACAGAAAAGAACAGATTGGGAGGTTGCGATGCCACCCCTAGTCACGCTCAGGGTAGGGCTGATTGGGGGGTTGGGGCACCGCCCCCTGTCACACTCAAGGCAGGGTCGATAGGGAGGTTGCTGAGCCAAA